GCGGTGCTTCTTCAGTGCGTCTCTTTCGTTCAGCTGCAGATGCAAGTTAAATCAAGAAAGTTGCAAATATAAAGCTGTTAAAACTGAGATAAAAATTACCAGATGTTTATCATTTTACTACAAGCTAGCGAGAGAACAAAGATATGTTTTGCCAGATAAAGATATCAGTACACACACTTCTTTTTTTGAGGTACTTTTCAAAAATATAATTTGTATTTTGTAAAATATGCAGCTCAAACACATTTTGGAGCAAGCAGAGGTCCATGAATCATGATAAAAATTTCTGCATGAAAAGGAATATGAATTGCCTAAAGATAATGATGTCCTAACAAAGAAACCCAGTGAAGCCTCTTTCAATGCATATTGCCATATAATCAATTAGGCACTATGCCGACCAAGCATTGTAACTTAACTAAATATCAGAAATCTCAAAAGGAGCATCCAATTATATCTCTTTGTTCTTACAACCATAACCCAATTCCAAGTCAATCTGTCCATATATCAGTTCAGTTTGACGCTAAACCTTAAATACAGAGTTAAACCACCATATTTACTCAGCCACTCAAGAGGGAAGTATTATCAAACATCAATAATAAACATTTATATATCAGTGATAAATCCAGCAATATAGAAAACAGAATATCAGGTTATACATACCCTTTTTCTCTTGCTTCTTCTTTTTTTTCTCTCTGGACAAACTTCCATCTGCTTTAGCAACACAGTCTGACTTTGTTTTTGCATATTGTATTCTCTGCACCACAATTAGTGCACTGTCAAATTCAACTTCAAGTCGAGAAAACTTTTGCATATAAAATTCATCATAAGAACACCGCCACTACTGCAAAGATGCGTTTGCAGATAAGGCATCAAGCTTTAAAGTACAATCCGTGTGTACTAGTAGATATTCTAGATTCATTGAAGAATAACTGAAATTCCCATTCATTTAAGTTCAAGAATTATAGAGTACATGATGCAGAAAAACACAGTCAAAAAGTTCCAAAACAAGAACACCACTAGTGTATGAATTCTGGCGTTATCTGATAAAATATCAAATTTTAATTTTTTATGAATGAAGCATTGAAGGGCTGCCCTTATAGATGAATGCATAGGTGATAGTGTTTAAAGCTTATCTACAGATGATTCACTCGTCAGTTGTTATTAGCTAGGTGCAAATGCATCAGGAATGTTCATAAAACATCAGTGGTCAAGTGTTTTCAGTTGCAAGATCCCAATCTCTAAGAATTCCATCTACTCATGTGATAGCTCAAGTACTTAATTCAGAGAGGGATTGTAATCTCACTGCGAATTACTCTAGTTAACTTATTTTGTGAAGATCATTCTATTAATAATAACATCAGCTCTTAGTAGAAGTACTTGCAGGAGTTGGAAGAAGGTTTTGCATGAATGGTAGCCATAACCATAAATCAAATAATTAATTTCCTAGAAAATTTCTCCTAATTCATTTTTTTCTTTTTAAGATCTAGCAGAAAGAATCACAAGATTGCAAATGTTTACATCCATTGTTTTTATGTAAATATACCATCCTAAATGGCATGATTTCCATATTGTTGGCCATTCAAATTAACATGACTTTTATTTACAAACAAATACCCACCCAACTGAATTAAGTGATTTCCTGCAGACATTTCCCCAATTTTACCAAAATTTTTACCGCATAAATGTTTGCACAATGAGATAGGAAAGCCCTTGAGAATCCAATGCAATTTTAACAGCAGTAAGCACAATGATCAAATGGAAAGAGAAGAGATAACAATTAAACTACGTTAGTATCCTTACCACATCCATTCTCAGCCTTAACAAATATAAAAAATCTACACATTCATTTTACACGACCAAGAAAGAAGACAAGCGAGTTGGACGTAATTTCAATATGTTAAATATCTAACAAGCACATGAAAAACCATATGTGAACCCCTCAATAAATATAGAGTGCATAACCAAATATAATTACTAAAAAACGCACCATAGGCTTATCATAAAGGGAAAATTTTGCATTTGCCGCACTGCATTACTTGCCGCTGTCACTTCGCTAAACACAACCCCGCTTGTCCTCGAACTTCGGCGTCTTCAAAGCGACACATCCAAATCCTCCCATATTGAGAGAATAACAATACAGGGACCTCTTCAATTCTATCAATCACAACAAGAATATCTACTTAATAACATATTACCTTGAACATTAAACATAAACCCTAAATTATGTACTCCTATTTTTATCCAACTTCTTGCAATTCCCCAACAATTCTGTACTAAAATTCAACATTTACGTCACTATAAAAATGTGAAAATCAGACAAACAGAATTTCTCAAACAACGCATTCAAAAAAAAAAATAATAAAAAAAAATTGAACGCAAACTTAAACCCAAAATTAAATACCCCATACATCTTCCTTTTTTCCCCCCAACTTCTTCCACTTCACCCAACTAGTCAGCAATAAAATTCAATACTTAAGTCACTATAAAACTGATAAATCACACAAATAGAATTTCTCAAACAATGCATTCAAAAAAAATAAAAAATAAATAAATTAAAACCCTAAAAGCATAATCTAAGTTAAGGTTATTACACCGAATTGGTAGTTAGTTTTTAAAAAGCAAAAGAGATTCGAAACATGAGGTTTAAGATTGTATAGTCTCTTGTAGTTCTGGGTTTTTTTTTTTTTTTTTTTTTAAATACCAAAAAGGAAAAGAAAAAAAAGGAGAACAAGAGAGAGAAATTACCTTCTTTTTTGATCTTTTCGTTGAGGTTTTTAATGTAAACAGTTTGATTAGGAGGAATGTCTCCAGTAACATGGTCATTCGTTCGAGCTTAAAATCCCCACAGAACCAGACCGAGAGAATGGAGAAGTTTTGTGTGGAAAGAGGAAGGAGAAGAAATGGAGACAGTCTGATTCGGACCAGGACCGAGCCCTAGCCTACCGTTTCCCAATTTGTTGGGCTTTCATTACCGAGTCTGGCCCTATTCTCGAACACTTAAGATTGAATATTGCTTAACTCTTAGAGACTTAGACCATGGGGGTTAGGCCGAGTAACTCAGGGCCGTTCGTTTATAAATCCATTTCCATTTTTCGTTTTTAAAGCTTTGTAAAATGTATATAATAACCATTCGTTTTGATATAATTTTAGTAAGGTAATGTAATCTAGTCCTTAATACAATAAACAAGAAACATGCAGTGTATAGTAAGAGTTTATTTTTAAGTGTAAAAGGAGAAGAAAAATAGAGAGAGAGAGAGAGAGAGAGAGAGAGAAGAGGAGATCTTTTACCACATCATGTTATACGTATGATATTACTATTATTAAAAATAATTTATTTAATTTCCTCTTATGAGATGCTTGCTATTAAACTCATCTATTGTTTAAAAAGTATTAAAAACATCCCTCTTATTTGGTGTTTGATGTTTTCAAGGTTTTTTTTTTTTTTTTTTATTACTTTTAGGATCGCTTGTAATTACAAGGATGTTTAATACTATCCAACGAAATAAATGAGTTTAATACTATGCGAAATAAACTCTAAAATAAAACACTTTGAAAATTGGAGCCCAAATATCATAAATAGTAAGCCAAACACACCGTCTAAAAATAATGTTTTAAGAACATGAAGTGATATGGTTCATTGTTCCTGGAAAATTCAGAAGTTGACTGCAAAATGTATAGAATTACTGAATTAGGGGTAAACTTCCACCAAACTTACAAAAAGGACAATAGATAAAGAGTAATGCTACAGACACTGAAATTTACACCGAACTTTTGTATCGAAGGATATGACAACCAGTCAGACGTGATCACGCTAGAGTTTTTGTGAATGAATGGCCGTCCAACATTTATGGACGCCCACCCATATTTAATGTACTCTCGTTTATATTATATGGACGGGTATTCATTTACCGTCCAAAAATTTTTAAAAGAAAAATAATGGACGCTCGTCTATCTTATATGGACGAGTGTATATTTACTATGGACGGACCCGTCTAAAAGATTTTAAAAGATTTTATTTTTTTTAAAACAAAAGTAGTGGAGGGGCATCCCTCTTAGATGGATGGCCGTCCATTAGATAGGAAAATATTGACTGGCCAACTTAAAATGTTGATGTGGCTTGTGGGATATGAAGCTTATCCATTAGTTGTGAAGAAGGGTCTGATGTTACTATTGATGTTGTCAGATTTGTGAAGAAGAAGAAGATTGCTTCTTTCCTTCTCATGTCTTCTCATTTCAAGAAACAAAGCCAGCTCCTCGCCTCTTTCTTTCATCACCATCTCAATTGTTTCCTTCTTCTAAACTCCAATTTCTATTTACTTTCATCATCTCTGTTCGTGGATCTGGTTTTCCGATGGTGGTGGTGGTTATAGCGGTGATTATTGCATCAGAAATAATATTCTGCCATGGAAAAAAAAGTGAAGAACCAGGTGCCATGAAAATAAAGTAAAGAAACAGGTGCTATTAAATAGGGAAATGGACAGACGTCTATCTAAGAGAATGCCCGTCCATTATTTTTTTTTTTAATTTAAACAATGGACGAGCATCCATCTAACAAGGATGCCAATCCATTCAGTAGGGACACCCGTCCATAATATATGGACAGTCATCCATGATTTTTGTTTTCAAATTTTTTTACATTAAATTATGGATGGACGTCTATTATAGGTGGACAACCATCCATATAATATGGACGAAAGTCCATTTAAAAGGAATGACCGTCTAGTAACAATAGACAATTGTCCATATTTAATGAACGACTGTTCATTCGCAAAATATTTGTTAACGTGATACATGGCTCGTCTGATTCAATGGACGCATCGTTCGACGTAAAAATTCGATGCAAAATGTCGATGTCCGTAGCATTTTTCTAGATATAAATACCCCCAAAGCCATTTAAATCATCAAATTGATTGGAATGATATAATACAACTATAGAATTGCATTTGTAGAATGAACAATATTCTAATATTTGTCAAGGCAGCAGCTGGTTTGTTACCTCCATGTAAAATCGAAAATCAAATGTATTGGAAAACCAACATCTACATAACTACAATGTTTAAAAACTCTAAAACAATTACATATCCTTGCTGAAACTAGGGAAGAAATAAAAGCAACAGTACAGAAAATAAACTCATCATTTCTTGGCAAAAGTGATAGCCATGGGATTCTGGGGGGTGATTTTGAAACCCTGAAGGGCCTGCATGGCCATGGAAGACTGAACATCATCTTCAAACTCTACAAAAGCGATACCTGGCTTCGCTTCAATCATTCGGACTTCTCTGAATCCTGGGTATTGCTGGAAGAGCATTTCAAGCATAGAGCCAGTGGTTTCGTGGGGCAAATTCTGTATGAAGAGTATATTGTTTGGTGCAACAGCTTCTTGTGAACCTGCATTTCTGAAGGACGCCTGCAAGTACACAAAATCTATCATAAGCAAACTGTTTAAGGAGCAAACTCAAGCATGCACACCTTCTCCTTTCAAAATCTGGATATTACAGTCACGGTTGATGTATTACTAGGTAGAAGTTGCAGGTGAAATCTATGGTCTATCATTCCTGTGCATGTCATCTAGAGCTTATTGGTACACTCAATGATGATCTTACAACTATCTTCTATAAACTCATTCCAGGCTCAGGCAAATGATACTCATGTGAGGTGATGTTTTAATCTTCAATAGAATTTTGAAAGTTACAGTATTCCACCACCCATCTCAGATCACAAGCACACAGAAGCATACACAGACGTACACCGGATATGAACAGTAGCATGAAAGTATAAAAATAATAGACTTACAGCTGGGCCACCATTACTTTCAACACCTGCACCATTAGCCATACCAGATTGCTGTGCTTCTTCAGTGCGTCTCTTTCGTTCAGCTGCAGATGCAAGTTAAATCAAGAAAGTTGCAAATAATACAAGCTGTCAAAACTGAAGATAAAAAATTACCAGATGTTTATCATTTTACTACAAGCTAGCGAGAGAACAAAGATATGTTTTGCCAGAATAAAGATATCAGTACAACACTTCTTTTTTTGAGGTACTTTTCAAAAATATAATTGTATTTTGTAAAATATGCAGCTCAAACACATTTTTGGAGCAAGCAGAGGTCCATGAATCATGATAAAAAATTTCTGCATGAAAAGGAATAATTGAATTGCCTTATAAGATAATGATGTCCTAACAAAAGAAAACCCAGTGAAGCCTCTTTCAATGCATATTGCCATATAATCAATTAGGCACTATGGCCGACCAAGCATTGTAACTTAACTAAATATCAGAAATCTCAAAAGGAGCATCCAATTATATCTCTTTGTTCTTACAACCATAACCCAATTTCAAGTCAATCCGTCCATATATCAGTTCAGTTTGAACGCTAAACCTTAAATACAGAGTTAAACCACCATATTTACTCAGCCACTCAAGAAAGGGAAGTATTATCAAACATCAAATAATAAAAACATTTTATATATCAGTGATAAATGCCAGCAATATAGAAAACAGAATATCAGGTTATACATACCCTTTTCTTCTTGCTTCTTCTTTTTCTCTCTTGGAACAAAGCTTCCATCTGCTTTAGCAACACAGTCTGACTTTGTTTTTGCATATTGTATTCTCTGCACCACAATTAGTGCACTGTCAAATTCAACTATCAAGTCGAGAAAACTTTTGCATATAAAATTCATCATAAGAAACACCGCCACTACTGCAAAGATGCGTTTGCAAATAAAGGCATCAAGCTTTAAAGTACAATCCTGTGTACTAGTAGATATTCTAGATTCATTTGAAGAAATAACTGAAATTCCCATTCATTTAAGTTCAAGAATTTATAGAGTACAGGTGATGCAGAAAAACAGAGTCAAAAAGTTCCAAAACATAGAACACCACTAGATGTATGAATCTGGCGTTATCTGATAAAATATCAAAATTTTAATTTTTTTATGAATGAAGCATTGAAGGGCTGCCCTTATAGATGAATGCATAGGTGATAGTGTTTAAAGCTTATCTACAGATGATTCTACTCGTCAAGTTGTTATTAGCTAGGTGCAAATGCATCAGGAATGTTCATAAAAACATCAGTGGTCAAGTGTTTTCAGGTTGCAAGATCCCAATCTTCTAAGGAATTCCATCTACTCATGTGATAGCTCAAGTATTTAATTCAGAGAGGATTGTAATCTCACTGCGAATTACTCTAGTTAACTTATTTTGTGAAGATCAGTTCTATTAATAATAACATCAGCTCTTAGTAGAAGTACTTGCAGGAGTTGGAAGAAGGTTTTGCATGAATGGTAGCCATAACCATAAATCAAATAATTAATTTCCTAGAAAATTTCTCCTAAATCATTTTTTTTCTTTTTAAGATCTAGCAGAAGAAGAATCACAAGATTCCAAATGTTTACATCCATTGTTTTTATGTAAATATACCATCCTAAAGTGCATGATAATTCCATATTGTTGGCCATTCAAATTAACATGACTTTTATTTACAAACAAATAACCACCCAACTGAATTAAGTGATTTCCTGCAGACATTTCCCCAAATTTTACCAAAATTATTTACCGCATAAATGTTTGCACAATGAGAGTAGGAAAGCTCCTTGAGAATCCAATGCAATTTTAACAGCAGTAAGCACAATGATTCAAAATGGAAAGAGAAGAGATCAAATTAAGACTACTTTAGTATCACTTACCACATCCACTCTCAGCCTTAACAAATAATAAAAAATCTACACTTTCATTTTACACGACCAAGAAAGAAGACAAGCGAGTTGGACGTAATTTCAATATGTTAAATAATCTAACAAGCACATTGAAAAACCATATGTGAACACCTCAATAAATATAGAGTGCATAACCAAATATAATTACTAAAAAACGCACCATAGGCTTATCATAAAAGGGAAAATTTTGCATTTGCCGCACTGCATTACTTGCCGCTGTCACTTCGCTAAACACAACCCACGCTTGTCCTCGAAGCTTTGGCGTCTTCAAAGCGACAACATCCAAAATCCTCCCATATTGAGAGAATAAACAATACAGGGACCTCTTCAATTCTATCAAATCACAAAACAAGAATATCTCATTAATAACATATTACCTTGAACATTAAACATAAACCCTAAATTATGTACTCCCATATTTTTATCCAACTTCTTGCAATTCACCAACAATTCTGTACTAAAATTCAACATTTACGTCACTATAAAAATGTGAAAATCAGACAAACAGAATTTCTCAAACAACGCATTCAAAAAAAAAATAATAAAAAAAAAATTGAACGCAAAACTTAAACCCAAAATTAAATACCCACATACATCTTCCATTTTTTCCCCCAACTTCTTCCACTTCACCAACTAGTCAGCAATAAAAATTCAATACTTAAGTCACTATAAAACTGATAAAATCACACAAATAGAATTTCTCAAACAATGCATTCAAAAAAAATAATAAATAAAAATAAATTAAATTAAACCCTAAAAGCATAAAATCTAAGTTAAGGTTATTACACCCAATTGTATAGTGAGTTTTTAAAAAGCAAAAGAGATTCGAAACATGAGGTTTAAGATTGATAGTCTCTTGTAGTTCTGGGTTTTTTTTTTTTTTTTTTTTTAAATGACCAAAAGGAAAAGAAAAAAAAAGGAAGAACAAGAGAGGAGAAATTACTTCTTTTTTGATCTTTTCGTTGAGGTTTTTAATGTAAACAGTTGATTAGGAGGAAGTCTCCAGTAATCATGGTCATTCGTTCGAGCTTAAAATCCCCACAGAACCGAGACGAGAGAATGGAGAAAGTTTTGTGTGGAAAGAGGAAGGAGAGAAATGGAGACAGTTGATTCGGACCAGGAACGAGCCCTAGCCTACCGTTTCCAGATTTGTTGGGCTTTCATTACCGAGTCTGGCCCATATTCTCGAACACTTAAGATTGAATATTGCTTAACTCTTAGAGACTTAGACCATGGGGGTTAGGCCGAGTAACTCAGGGCCGTTCGTTATAAATCCATTCCCATTTTTCGTTTTTAAAAGCTTTGTAAAATGTATATAATAACCATTCGTTTTGATATATTTTTGAAGGTAATGTAATCTGTCCTTAAATACAATAAACAAAGAACAATGCAGTGTATTAGTAAAGAGTTTATTATTAAGTGTAAAAGGAGAAGGAAAAAGAAGAGAGAGAGAGAGGAGAGAGAGAGAGAGAGAGAGAGAGAGAGAGAGAGTGCTTGAATTTTATTAAGTGCTTTTATGCATTTATCTCAACTATAAAAGCTCTTATTCATAGTCTCAAGAGAAAGTATTAAAATAGTTCATTCAATCTGATTGAAGACAAAGAGCCACCAAGCAATCCAGGTAAGATCCATCTTTACAAGAAGTTTTATCTTTGTTAGTGTTGATTTTTCTTTCAAGCTCGAAGAATTGCGAGATTTAGTCGACCTAGAACTAGCCCGACTCTACGATTGTCCGACCTAGAAAAAGCTAATCTCTACCAATCTAAATTGTCAACTAATTCACAGATAACTTCAGATCCCGGATATCTCCGAAAGGATCAAATCGACATCAATCTTTGCGCAATCATATTGATCAATCGCGGAGAATATGGAATTGCATTCCAAAGTTATTTGTAATCCCTTTATTTTAGCTATTTCCTTTGTATAAAATCTGTATATAAACCACCTCAATGATGAGAAAGGGTTAAAATCATTCTAGGACTATATTGTAAGCTCTCATAGCAAACAAAAACAATGGACATAGGCTCAAGAATTAACTAGCCGAACTACTTTAAAAACTCTTTGTCATTTTCTTTACTGTAATTATTTATTCATACTGGTTACCCATAATCATGAACATCAGTTCCGATCCTGTCAAAGTCGATTAGATTACTCTAGTTGCATTAGAAAGAGGGTCTCTGCCAAAATCTCATAATTTTTAGCAAGTAATCCTAGTGACCTGATCACTCCACGGCCCACAATGGTGCATACAAGATCAAAAACCACCATCGAAAACCACGACAACTTGGAAACCCACCACCAGGAGTTGTAACAAGAAGCTGCTAGGTGTCGACCACCAGTGTCGCAACTCAACAAGCACAAATAACCAGGGAGCAGGGATGTGAAATCCTGAGAATGGCCAACTGGTGGAAATGATTAGAATAATGGTTACACAGGCGGTGCAACGAAACGTGGTTAAGCTAAGAAATAGGAACCAATCGCATAGAACCTTGACCAGCCACACTTTACCAATATCACCCAACGGTTAGATTCAGCTGGTAACCAGTCTGGTTCATCGACAATGAGGGTTGCCGACACCCTCGACGTCATAAAGTACCCTCCGCTCATGAGCATGAGTCCTGCGGGCAAACTAACCCCGGAAGCGGACTAGGAAAATAGCCAAGAGAGAAAATGAACATAATGGTCGCCTATGAGAGCTCAGCGTGCCTGTCGGTATCCCTAGCGTCAGCGTGCTGGTTTTAACCCACGCCTAGGCAGGTTCAGATCTCGTAAGCTCGCAAGGCGAGTCATGTGTGCCAATCTAGCAATGATTGACGTTCCAGTTATAACCAACGTCGTGAGCAACGCACTGACGAGCTGATAGCAATTACTATCCCAACCATCATGACTAACCTCGGCATCAATGCACATAATGGAGGGGCTCACAAGCAACAAATTTGCGAACCACATGCTCGAGGTAAGGCTGAACAAAGCCAATCAAGGCAATCCTCACAATAAAGACTTGGATCGGATGCAAAAAATGTTCGATGATCTAAGAGCTCGTCAAAACAATGCAGCGGAAGAAATGGTGAGCTCTCCTTCACAGAAGAAGTTCGCCAGGCCCTACTCCCCTAAGGATTCAGGGTACCTGAAAGTAGGTTTGGTGGGAGAGGAGATCCCAAAGACACCTCGACACTTTCAATGACGATGGAGCTGCACTAGGTTTGTGATTTGGCAAAGTGCCGCTGCTTGTGGTCATTGGTAAGGGATGCCAAGAGGTGGTACAAAAGACTCAAGGCGAACTCCATAGTTCTTGGCAACAATTCTCCTCGTTGTACTTGCAACAATTCTCAGCGAGGAGATAGTTCACAATGCCACTCAACTACTGAGCAACATTCGTCAGGAGAGAGATGAAACATTGACCTCGTATTTAACAAGGTTCCAGAATGAGCAGGCAAATGTTGCAGATCCATTTGAAGAGTCAATCGAACTTTACTAATGGGCATCATGCCGCAAACGGAGTTGTGGAAAGAGCTCCAAAGTGAGATTGTAAACCCCACCAATACGTCTAAGGGTGAAATAGTCTTTTCTTTTATTTGTTAAGTTAACTACCATGCACATGACTTAGGGGTAAAGTGGTAAAAGAATGATGAAATTTGTTGGCTTGACAAGAGGATTAAGGAGTAATTAAAAGACATTTGTTAAGGGCAAAAAGGGAAATAAATTATAGGACATTAAATGCAAAAGACAAATGTCAAATGAATAATTCTTTTGCAAAAAAGAAAAAAAAAAGATATTAGGTGGTATGAGTCGGCCAACAATGTTTCTACCACTTTTCTTTATCTTCTTCAAGTTTTCTACATCTTCCATAATTTTCTCAATACTCATTAAATTCAAGTCTCTTAGTTGCAATCTCTCACGGATCTTATATTTTTCATTTATTAAGGTATAGGAGGTAAAGGTCAACTTCTTATCTTATTAAATATTTGTATTTCACAGCTATTGTAAGTTTCCTATAATTTATGTTAGGAAAAGGGTCAATTGGAGATAAGGAGGAGGAAATTTGCAAAGGAGTGTGGTTTCTTGACATAAGGTAAGGGAAACCTCCCTTTAAAGGAAATAAGAATTAGGTTTCTAGGTTTAGTATTAGGGAACTTAATTCTTGTCACACAATAGCAATTGAACTTGGTTTGATGCTATAATTGATGGATTTATATGTGAATGTAAAAACATTGAGTTGATGACAATCAATGGAAGCAGTTGTGACATGAGTTTTTAACATATTACAAGGGAGGTTATTATTGATCTTTTAACATATTTTCACAAGGGAGAATGGTAGGAAAGGTTAGGGAGTAAGTGGAGGTAAATAGGGAAGGAAAAGCCCTAAAATAGGCATGTTACCATGGTTGCCTTGTCACAGCCATGACTTTCTGAGTAATTTTTGGACATCTTAACGATTGAACTGGATTAAGACATAAACATAAAAGTTGTAACCCTATCTCTAAGCTTAAATGGACCTAAGACATATCAATCTGATGTGTATAACTCAAGTTATGCCTTCTTGAATCTGACCTGTGCAGAATGACTATCTCTAAAGTGCTTCTAATGTCTTAATTTATTTTTAGCCTAATAATCTAGGATTGATTCCAAGTATGGAAATGATGTTTAAAGGGTTTTTAAGTATGTTTGAATGAGTGATCTTTATGATTATTTAATGATTGTATGAGCATATATAGTTGATGTAATGAATGACCATGAGGTTATGTGTAATATGTTATGTATTACCCAATTATGAGCTTGTGTATGTATAAACAAGCCTAAGTATGATATGTTCTATGAATTTGTTATGCATCCACAAAATGGTCATGATGAAATGATATGTTCATATATGGAAAGTGTATGTTTTTTTAAGAATGAAGCATGTCAAGCATATTAATGATGAAAAAAGGGGGACTTGATCCTAAGTTTGAGCAAAATGCTTCCAAGGTACATAGACATGCATTTTTGTGAAGGATAATGATTTGTAAATTTTATGGAAGATGTTGGCATGGTATGGGGAACCTGAGCTCACTCATGCACATGTCTAGACCAAAAGAAATGAACAGTCCATAGCGTGCATGACCATGGGGACTGTGTTATAAGTTAAGGTTAGCTCATTGGCCAAAGGTTCCGTAATCCATGCCTCAGCTTAGTTTGATCGGTAGACATTAAAAAGGTTTTCAAAGAAAAACTGTATTTATACATGCATGACATTGATGTGCATTATTCATAAACATTAAAGGAAAGCATTGCATAAATCATATTATGCATTATGATATGGATGAAAATGCTGTGTTATATTACTTTTATGTTATTAATGTTTGGTTCATGTACAAGTAAATAAGATGCTTCCTAAGTTTAAGAATGTTACATAGAGTTAAATGATCAATACCCTTACTGAGTGATTAGCACTCATTTCCCTAGTTTCCATGTTTTGCAGGTAATGGCTAAAGCAGTAACGACGAGCGGCAGTCAAGGAGGCTTGGGGGCATGCATGTTTTTGTTCTAACTAAACTTATGATGTTATATAAAGGATGTTGCTTTTGAATTTAATTTATATAGTTTAATGTTTATAATCTAAGTTTTATGAAATAGTAAATATGTTTTGCTTATAAATGATGGGAGATAATTTATATTTGCTTCCGCTATTAAACAATTGATGTTGTTGTTTTCTTTAAACCATATTTTTCATATATAGTTATGTCTTGATAGGTTGAGCAAGAAAGTAATTTTAATGAGAAGAGAAGTTTTTATTTATCTATTTTCATATAGTACATGTTTGTAACTAGGATTTATGATTTAAACTACACAACCTTCCAGGCGTGAATTCTTTAATTTTCTATCCTAATGGAATACTTAGAAGGTACCTGGCTGGAGGGGGCTGTTATAAAGACCATGTGAGCCTAGCAAGGTTTTACCAGATGGCTGCCAAACATCAACGAATAGAAAGCTTGCTAGTCGCCTTAGCTA